TCAAATTTGGGCGGGGGAGGGTGGAAGACGGAAAGCATGAAAGTGTAAGAATGGCGGCGTCAGCAGTAGCATGTTTTCGCTTACCCGCCCTGCTGTATGCAGCAAGTAAGGCGACCCGGCTGATGGCACCACGCGACGGCCGATGTGGCATGAGAATATTGTTAGTTGTGTAGGTCATGGTTGTACGAGGGCTGGGATACTGCCAGGGCGCCCACACCTAGACAGGAGGACGATTAGGGTCCTCAACCAAAGCCTTTGACTCAAAAGCCTAACCGCAAGGCAGCGGTGTTTGGCGGGGAAATGCAAATGCATTACCTTTTCTACGGAACAAGTCGCCATACACGTTCCAACCCCCAACCTGGAGGACCAGGAGACTGTGTTCGTCAGACCTCTAACCATTGACCAACCTGGTATGAGAGACTCTGTGAGTGTCGCGCGGACACCCTCCAGTATAGCTCAATGGGTCGCCGAGGTACACAAACCGCCACACCACGATAAGGTCCAGTCTCTTCGTGACGGTCCGAAAAACTAACATTGTTTTGTTTGTCACATACGGATTCCCACTCGCGAGGGATCGCCCCATTTAATGGTTTCATTTTCATGTAGCTAGACGACAAAAATTCTTCACTCGTTTTTTAGAGAAAACTGACGGCCACTGTACATGGTCGGTTTGTACGCTGATGTGCCTCAACCAAGGATGAACAGTGACAGACTTCCGGCGATTCAACCTTAAACGAAGAAAATCATCCCATCGCGCGCTCACAAAATTTGCTTAAACTAACCGAAATCTCATTAGCCCAGTTTAGGAATGGCGCGACACATCTACTGATAGCTCTCTCCCCCAAAAAGAAACCTCCATCCAGGGGAAATTTCGGTGCCTCCAGATGTTTTATCGGAGGAGAACATTGTACTTATTGAACGCTCAATCGGTATTTAGTCTCTTTCTTAATGCAACTATACAAATAAAATAGGGGCGTTTCGTTAAGACTGTTTTGCGACGAAATTATCAGATAAGGTGAACAATTAAATCACCAGGCGCTCCTACTTACTGAAATGTCTGAGCTTTATTGGCGAGTCACAGGAACCTCAATGCCAGTAATGGTGAACCTGTAATACAATAATAGTCGTCCAGCTGTAATGCCCTTCCGTTGACACTCGGGTGAAGCATGTGGGAGATATCGACAGGCTGCCCAAGTCCAAACAGCAGCAGCAGCAGCCGGAATGCGGAGGTTGGGTGTTACCCATGGGCATTTCGGTAAGTTCGCGTTCGAAACAATAAAACATCATAAGCGAGTGAGTCTAACTGTTTGGAAAACGGGCTGCCTGACGCGATTACGGCTTGGAGACTTGTGTTTTCAACATATACAATAATGTCCAGCTGTAATGCCCTTCCGTTGACACTCGGGTGAAGCATGTGGGAGATATCGACAGGCTGCCCAAGTCCAAACAGCAGCAGCAGCAGCCGGAATGCGGAGGTTGGGTGTTACCCATGGGCATTTCGGTAAGTTCGCGTTCGAAACAATAAAACATCATAAGCGAGTGAGTCTAACTGTTTGGAAAACGGGCTGCCTGACGCGATTACGGCTTGGAGACTTGTGTTTTCAACATCAGGAACAACCTGAAAAATACCTGGGCTCCGAAAGTTAAAGCTGTAAATTGTCACGAACGACGCAGGGTTAATTCCCTATGACCAACTTTCAATTGACTGACGACCCTTCCGATAATATCGCTGCTGAAACGCGCACACCTAACTCTTATGAAGCTAGACAAAGTAATTTGTGAAAATTTCGGGGATTGAACATCACAGATGAAGTAGTTTGCTGCAAAAACGCCAAAATATACGCGGAACTATTTCGGACGTATTCTGTGACGTTATTTTCCCAAAGCTATACGCATTTTATTGGCTGTTTTGAGCAACTACTTCGTTATCGTTAGCCCTCACTTGTTCATTCAATGTGGGATAAAACTATGATCCAGTCGCTCTGTGGTAGTAACCACACTAGATTTCGGCTTTATCCACTCATTTACTCAAGTGTACTTCCCCACGGTAAATAACAACGTGACTTCGTGGGCGTAAACTGTGTCAAGGGTACGATTCCAGCTGCTACAGTGTCGATCACCCGAAATTAGGAGTGTGCGAGATATAGCCAAGCAGGAATTATCATTTAGTTCGGGAAACTGTGATGCACTGAAAGCGATGATCTTGGTGCGCGAGTGCCACTGACTGCGTAATTGTACCATGTCTGCCAGTGGCAGTAACCATCGATGAGTTGGGTCCCTTAGTCCTCACTCAGGGAGGCAGAAGTTGTCAACCTGACTGAGTTTACAGGTAAATTTTTCGTTGCCAGGTCACACACTGTCCACCTCTCGGTCGCTTTCACTAAGCACAGGGTAGATGATCATCTGGCATACAGTACACTTGTCCTAACTGGCACAACATATGAAAAGTGAGTGGGAGAGTTCTTTTGTCCTAAAACAGTCTGTCTTAACTCAGCACTGCTAAGCCAATTTCCCCACCAGGCCTCAGGGTAGATGATCATCTGGCATACAGTACACTTGTCCTAACTGGCACAACATATGAAAAGTGAGTGGGAGAGTTCTTTTGTCCTAAAACAGTCTGTCTTAACTCAGCACTGCTAAGCCAATTTCCCCACCAGGCCTGGTTACTGCTTCGGGGACACCGATATGGTAAACCTAATGTTCTGCTACACCTTGATCTACCTGAAAAAATTCACTGGGCCCTGCGATAAAATATTGGGGAATAAATCCACCAGTCGGTGAATAGATACATACGCTTGTCCACGGACAATGACAGGATATGCTGGAGTGGTCTTTATACACCCGATAACCGATATCCCATGTAGCTAGTGAGAATCCCCATTACAACACTTGTGAACAGGAGCTTTTTCTCAGTATTAGTACAAATAGTGAGAAAGACTGCGGAGTAGAAGGCTAGAAAGAATGGTAAGATCGATCTTATGGGGACTGGACAGAGTTAGTTGTTACGTTTGTGTTGAACAACATCAGCGAAGGCGGCTCCAAGAAGAGCTTCAACAGAGGTTAGTTTCTCTCGAGGCTTTCCAAGAGCCCTGCCCGCCAATTTCTCAACGGCATCGACACGTTCCCAATCGGAAAAGGAGATGGTCCGTAACCCTGCAAACAGATGCATTCATACTGTGAGATGGGTGTGGGATGAGATGGAGAAAAATCTCAATCGATAAGATTCACCAACGAATAACGTAAGGATGCCCACTGACAACCATCGCTACAGGTGAGAATAAGAATGTGTCCGCATCGTTATTAATTGGACAATTTCATTCCTGTACAAACCAAACGGGATGCACTAGCCTCTGATTTCGCTCGCATTCGGGAACCGCACAGTTCACGCTACAAAAGATTAGGCCAGAAACCGGGTGAGGAACCGTCTGTTACACCAAACCACGCCAACAGACCTTCCAACAAGTAGATACACAGGCATTTTGCATTAAACCGCCTGTGCAACCGACTGAACGCCCGTTAACCAATGTAAAGCCCTGAGAAGTAGACTGGGATAGTTGTAAAACGAACTGACGGTTATGAAGGGACAACTAAACAACTGAAACCAATGATGTATACACGGGGTGGCTCGCAACACCTACAAGGCACAGCAGAGGTACAAAAATATACCCAACTGGCGGGAGTTAACAATCAGTCTAATCTGTAGGGAATTTCGTTCCTAAAACTTTTGTAAGATGGCCACTTAGGAATGTTCGGTGTTAGAGCGAGTTCACTCGCAAGTTTATATACAAAATACAGCATAATACCACTAGAATACATTTACTAACACTTTGTAAGATGGCCACTTAGGAATGTTCGGTGTTAGAGCGAGTTCACTCGCAAGTTTATATACAAAATACAGCATAATACCACTAGAATACATATGAAAACAGATAAATCACTACTAAACCAGAGACACTGTGCGGCGAAGTACAAGAGGCACCCTTAGGTTTGGGCGACAGCAGTCCTAAGGTGAGAGCTGTCTGTCGTCTATTTCGTTGTAAGATACACACACGAACGTCATCATCAGATGCCCCCTTCGTTTTGGAATAGAAAAAACGTTGTCCGCTAATTTACATCCTTGTGATTGTTTGGAAGGGATGTTGTACCCGGAGGCATCCAGAATGATTTGTGTTATGATTTGGGGTTGTACCCTGAAACGACACGGATTTGAGGCCGAACCTCAAGAGAACGCAGTTAAGCAGGCTTGGTTGGAAGTGGGCTCTTTAGGACTGTGGCGACCTAGGTTTCATCGTTTTGGCGGAAAAGCGGAATAGTCGCAGAGAGATATCCAGCTCAACCCGAACTGTTGTTTGGAAGACGAACGAACACGGATTTCAGCTTCCACAAAGCAATTGACTGTATTTTGGTTTGAATTACATCCGTTCAGCTTATTTATATTGTTAGAATGGAAAAGTTTCATTCAAGGGAACGATGGGAAACTCTGCACTAAGCGGGTTTTGAACAACCCGTCGAAGCATAGGATGGAGGTGGTTTGCATACCTCAAAGATGGTCATTTCAAAGTATAAATCTTCCCTGAAAAAGTCCCACAGACCCTCGGGAGTATGCTAAATTAAAAGCCATGGTCAGATATGGGTGAAATATCCGTTGGAACATTCGATTTACGTTTAGGCCGAACGATCTAGGTGCACTCTTTGGCGAAAAGCAACAGAAACAATAACAGAATGTGCCGTAAAATGCGAACACGGTGGATAGCGAACTAAGTGCTCCAGATTGAGATCGAATTAGACTGAAATACGATATCTTGGATGTTTTAAGGTGAAACCGAAAAAGTTCTAACTCGGTACATGTGGGTGAGTATGGAAATTCGGCGTCCAAGGGAGTACAAGCTTACAAACTGACACGAGTAATAAATTTCGAATTATTGAAAAGCAACTCCCAGAAAACCAGCAGCAAGAACTCACCACGGGCCTGTAACAGCTCTGGTGTCAAACCATTCTTCTGAACTACACATGGGTCACCTTTCAATTCTGCGGAAGCCAAATCTAGCAGAACAGTTTTTGCGACATCACGAGCATCTAAGGAGGTGTCGACAATCACTCCTACTGCACCTCGTTTCGCCCATCCAGCACAATACAGAGGGCAGGCCAGAGGATCACCTGGTCCATCATCGCTATCAGCAACCCTCCCATGCGTATCTTTGGACTTGATCACTCCACGATCATGATCGAATGGAAGATCTTGATCTATCTGTACACTACGATATCCAATACTCCGGACAACCAGACCACATTCTAATAGTTCGCGGGGAGCATCTGAAAGGACTTGTACTTGTTGCTGCTCACTTGGAGAACCCTACCGGAATAAAAATAGCATTGATAGTCAATTAGGAAGTCCAGCGATAGAAAAATTGTTCTTCCAGTCTCTTTGGATAAACGACTGAAAGGTACCATGAAACAACGCGCGAAAAGTAGCCATGCAAACTTTACGCTCCGTGAAGAAAAGAGTGGCAGCATTCTATAACATGTTTTTGCCTACCATACGGAAGAGCCAGAGACTGAAGGAGATCATGAAAACAGGGTACAAATATTCTGTGTGAAAGAATATGACAAAATAAACTTTGGTAACCGTCCTGTGGAAATTTTGTTGCTTGGTGAAACGACATAGAATACTAGGAGAAGACGAAAAGGTACTGCCTCAACTAATCCGAGAAACATAGACGAGATGACATTCATCCGTTGATTACATATCGGAAATGTGCATATTAGCTCCCACTTATGAGAAATTTACAGCAAAACCAAAGCTGGCTCAGTAAGACTAGTGCAACTCACATAGAGTGGTCAGTCGGGGCGCATGATCCTTCGAAGAGGAATTGGATGATCACTAGAAATACACTGCCCTAAAATTTCCTTCCTTCACACTGGTTCACCACGTTATAACTGACTTAAAAGTATCAGTATTGGTGCCTGATGACTACCGTTTTTAAAAGTACTGTTCATGTGAACTACAACGTAGACCGGATTCATGTTGAGCGGCAGACTTAACGCTCAGCATCTCCACTTTCCTGACCACAAAAACACCCAGAACGCAAACGCCTAAAGCAACCGGGAAGAGAAGCTACCAAGTGCTGGAGATCCAGAGCTTCAGTAAGACGGAAACTTACAATCAACTGATTGACTAAAAGCTCCAATTTCCCGACTGCAGACTTCCAACTGCACTCAGCTGGGGGCTCCCTCGCAATGATACGTACCGGTGAGCGGAGAAAAAGGAAATCACAGTGTTTGGAGGCAAGGTTTCCAGGTTTTTGGTCAGCCAACTGAAGTAAAAATTGGGTGAGGCGGCGGCGCGGTCGAGGAAGCTCTTGATCCGAGTGAAGACAAAAGAAGACGAAGAGGACAAAACAAAGTAATTCTATAAGAAATAAAAACATTCGAAATACTGGACCGTAACTATTGATCTTAAGTAACAAAAATGTTCTTGGTAGAACAGGATAAAATTGATGACAATGAAGTTAAGTTTTCAGCTCTCAAGCCGTGCACTGGAGTGAAGTGGTTCCAGCTGCTACAGCTCGATTAACCGAATATAGAAAGAATGAGAGCCATTTGTTGGAGGCGACGGCCCAAACAGTTCATTGACGTCAAATGTTCCTGTCTGTCCATTATGGCGGGAAGTGAGAAGGCTAAGTAGCGAAAGCGATAGCTTTGATGCAGGGCGCCATGGAATGCCAGACAAATCTGTTAGGGTCTCTAAGCACGCTTATGCTGGAAGTTCGTACTGGTCAGAAACAGTTAATGATCAGCACACAGATGGAGGAATCGCTCTCCGTTGTCTGCGCGACGAGCGTCGACCCCAAATCGAATGCCCAGATGTGATTTCAAGGGACTCAAACAACCGAATAGAGTATTCATATCGATCACAAGAATGAGTGTCAGTGCTTCTTGCTCAAGTAATAAGCCCGGATAGTATCCTCATCAGCGTGGGGACTGCAGTTGGTTGGGGCATAAGCTGACACTACAAACAGGCACCGTTTTCATGTTGAGAAGCGTTGGCCTTGATCGAGCTGGATAACCGGACGGCACAAAGACGACTGTCCACTGGGATCAAATCCAGAAAAGTACTTTCAGCTCTGGAGCTGAGTGCAACTCTGGCGCCACACACTCCACGAGCCGTCGCTCCTGAATCACCGGACACACGGAGGGTCAAATGTAAGACAGCCGGATTCGTTCTTTGCGTTCTTGGATGCATAACCACTCTTGGATCTTGTACGTGTTTCGGAGACGGCATGTTTGCCAATTTGACGTCGTGTGGATGTTAACAGCTCTCATGTAGGAAAAAATCTCAAGGGTCCAGCAATGTGTTATTTTGTCTATTGTTAATGGGGGCGGGGTGCATAAGGAACATCAGTCAAATAACTGACAATCAAATGACTCAAAGACGCTTACTTGGGTGGTAGGAAGGGGTTAGAAATGGACATCGATGGACACAACTCTGCGGGCAAATGATACTTCCACGTTGCCGAGGTCGAGGATGTTGGTTTGGTTGAAGTACCCCACCTTGAGCCTTTGACTTAAAAGTATGACCCAAAAGGCCAGGGGAAAATTTAAGATTTTGTTCGGGAATCTCAGGCTCAGAGCTACCATCTGTCGGAGCGTACGCTGACACAACGAAAAAAAGTCGCTTACCGGGTCAAGATGCATTGATGATTGAACTAAGCAACCTAACAGCGTAAGGACAACTGTTTACTGGAATTCAGTCAAGTAAAGCGTATTCAGCCAGCGATCGGGACGAGTAAAAAACCCAAACAATAGATACAAGCAACTGATTCAGGACCACCAGGAACCCGAAGAGTAAAGCGCTGGAAATCCAAGCTCATTCCGAGAGGTTTGAGATGTATGGGCGAACTGGGGCATTCTATGGGTGTTCCGGAGAAAAAGTGCTCTAACCGAAGGAGAGAACTAGCTCTGAGCAAGAGCTGTTTTCCAAAGTGACACAGAGTACGGACATTAAGAACGACAATGTGAAACAGATCATTCGAATTGAGTAAGGATTCATCTTGATTATTTTACTGGGTGTTAGCTGATGCATTGGGAAATGGTTAGGTTAATGGTAGCTAAATGAATTAGAAGAGCGTTGGCAAAGAACTATGCGGAGTCAGTGAATGGAGAGCTGTAATAGCGAATGATAGTTCCCAGCTGAAGGGGGTTTGGTTGAGGTACGGCGCATTGGGCCTTTGACTCATACATCTGCACCACGAGGCAACAGTTGTTAGAGTTTTCTTGAGGGGTCCGTCCATGAGCCAATGACCCAGTGATACGACTCACTTCGCTACAGAGAGCTGGCGTAGGCTAAGGACGCAATGAATAAGACACACCTGCTTGACTCCTAGTGTGGCTGCACACAAGGGTTAGATTTTGAGCAGTACCAGTGTTATATCTGACTGCTGTTCACATTCCAGTGCCTGGTGTCAGAAAAAGAACTCAGTCGGTACAAGAAACACAATAGCTTTATTGCGGCAATTGAGTGCGTGCGAGGGAAAAAGTTACAACGGCCCCACGCTATTTAAAAGACACTTTCTGACATTGATCCAGGGTGTCTGATAGGCGTTTAGTGAACACCCATCAACATCGATCGTGCTCCTATGAAATGCATGAACGCTGATCACATTCAGTCGTGCTTCTGTGGCGTGCCTGGGAACCTTGTTGTAGCTGATGAAAAGTGTACTTCCTACCCCCACCCCACTTAAAAATAAGTGTGTTGGGAAGGTACATTAGACCGTCACAAATGGACGTGTGAACTGTGAACGGCATCGAGCCACTGCTGACGAAAGGTGCATTACATACACAGCCTCGGTGGCGTAATTGTTGAGGGGGGCTCCAGGCACTGACTTTGAGTACATCACTCATTTACTACTTTAGCTGGTGCCAACAAGAAATCCGATTTGATGTGCTTCAACCAAGTATTCACAGGCCAACTCGAAACGTATTTGGGCCGACATTCTAGACTGAGGTGTATGTCTTTCGTAAGCAATACAACACATAGGATTAGTGTTAACTGCTACTGCAATGGACGCATAGAAACCGATTTTCGAGGACACTCATCGGGAGTTTGTCCAATGGAAATTTGTGAGTAGTTAACCCTTAAACTTATGGACTCCATCCAAATGTTTGACTGGCTGTTGAAATAAGTAAGAACGGGTAGCTCAGTGTTTTTGGGAAAATTAAACCCCAACGTATCAACCAATGCACTTGCTGATTAGAGGGGAGCACTGCATTTACTAGGGGATACGCTATCTAACGGACATAAGCACCGTTGTATCAGCTGTGCCAGGAAAACGGTATCGAAAAAAGAACGGATCAAGACGCTGTTACTTGGACCGATGAAACAACAAAAGTCCTTACCAGAGAGTAACTTGGTGAGCTGTTCATCAGATCCGACAGTTGTTTGCATTATTTGGGGAGGGAGGAAGTTCAGGGGCAAAAACTGAGGAGATTCACCGTTCTCACTGATATTCAAGCGCGACAGCTCGCGTAGCTCCTTGAGAGTGAAGGCTGCTTGAAGCGGACCACGGCGTCCAATAAGAATAACACGACGAACCCTGCTCGTGCTCAGCACTGAAATCACAGGTTCCGGGATGTCTGTATTCTAACACAACGTAAGGCGAGATCGAAGGCTGCCAACCTTGAGCCGATTAGAAGAGGATAGTAGTATTCGAGCAACATCGATAGCAACATTTCCTATACCCACAACGGCGACCGTGTCACAATCGAAGTCTGGAGTGAACTGCAAACAAAAACAAAATGAATTAACAGCCTCTATCACATACTTTGGGAAGACCTGGAGAACCGTTATACCAGGCGACCAAATCCTTAGCCGAAATCACTCCAGGGAGGCTCTGAAAAAGAATATACCACAGCCAGTGAAATAGCAGTTACCTCACCAGGAATGTTCAAATGCTGGTCGACTGCAGCACCATAAGCCTGAAAAGCATACAAATTCTAAACCACGTCCGACTTACTAAGATGACAGAAGCATAGGCTCTTTGGAGTTCCCGTAAGCGGACGTCGACCCCGACAGTCACGTTGCCAATGAACTTAAATCGTGGGCTCTTTGCGACTTCAGTGAAAGTGTTAATCACATTCTGGAACGTATCTACATAAGGGTTGTAAAAATACCTTGACCTCAGGATGGTCTGGGGCAACACCATACCGCACAAGACCAAAAGGAGCAGGTAGCTTCTCATACATATCCACAAGCAGAGAACTGTGATGCTTCGAGAGGTAACGCGGAGACACGAAATTTACCCGCAGGAGATACTGAGCAGTGTAGAATGCTGAAGGACCGCTACCAACAATACATACATACGGTCTTGACGCATAGGTGCGAATGCCTTTGGCGAACGCAGGAAAAGAACCTCCGACTACTAAAACGCTGTCAGAATGAATACACTGCAACAAATATGGATACCTTACGCCACCGAAAAGCATTTTGAACACCATTATGCGTAACAAGAACGTAGATATTTGACACCGAAAAAGCAATCTACAATGGGGGTAAAGTCGGGGTCAATAATAAGGACAATATGTAGTCGCTGTGCTTGGTGCATGTGGGGAACCTAAGGCCTACCAGAGTCCACCAATGGAACTCGATTTGGCTTCAGCTTCCGGAAATCGGATCATTCTACTGAAGCAATTGAAACCGAAACAATATTATGGTGTAAAATGTCAGGGTTGGCGACTAGAACACACTGCCCCAAGCAGTTTATACAAGACCGAGAACTTAGTCCTGTTCCCCCAACATCTGAAATCAGGAATACCACAGCGGAATGTTTTCTTCGAGCTCCAATGGTGCGTCATACGCTTAAATAAATAAAAAACAACCTCATTTGGATCATCTACTCAGTTACAACCGAATGTACAGCTGACTTTTAGCATTAACACACGCCCTGTCTGTCATAGTTCTTTTAGCCGATGCAGCTCACTGCATGAAATGCATACATAACGAGGCTGTGCAACAAATTTAAGCTTCAGTATCCTTTTGAAGAAGTTATTACCACATGTAGTATATCGGATCACAGCGCACCTTAGTATCTGTGGGCGTTTTCGCTAGCGAGACATTTCGTAAACACAGTTGGAACCATTCGACAAGGCAGCAGCAACCACAGTAGAACTTTCTTCCGGGTGCAAACTGAAAACGGATAGCCTCAAAGATTCAGTATACCAGGAACTGAGCAAGCAATTAAGAGTAGTGTCGAGGGATGGCTAGGGTATCTACGAGAATAAAATCTCGCAGTCCTCTGTGTGCAGTAGAGAACTGCAGTCATTGTTTTACTGTCGAATTACATCCAACGCCGCAAAGAGACTGGACCACATCACGGTGTGGCGCCTTTTGTACTTGTATGACTGAATGAGCTAAAATGGGAGGCCCACTTTGACAACCACAGAGACTTACATAGATTTGCCAATGGACGGCGGTTTCCTGGTCCTCCAGCTAGGTTGCTGGAACAACTACAAGGACTTGTTCCGAAAAAAACTTGCACGACATTCACTGCAGCCTCGCGACTAGACTTCCGTATAGGGCTCTAATCACGATCCTGGCTTGGTATTAGCGCCCGACAGATTCCCAGCTCGAGTTAAACCAGGAATTCTACAACGAAAAACACTGACGTCACATGACATTTGAGTGATGCCCTCATTCAGGTGGGTTCACTTGCTGCATACAGTGGGGTGGGCAAGCGAAAACATGCTATCGCCCACGCCTGTCTTTTTACACTTTTATTTATTCCCTCTTCTTCCCTGCCTCACCCCAATTTGTATATTCTCTATGGGGGTCGCAGGACAAAGGACAGCTGCGTTGGTCGTCATGCATCACGCCAAGCTGCAGCGTTTGTGCGTCCGACTTCACCAACAATCCAAAACACCTCGAAGTCCGTTTTCAAACCCGAAAGCCGGTCTACTGCCTTTAATGTTTGTACATTGAAGTAGGCAGGACGACAAATGGCTCTTGCTCGCACGCCGGATTTCCTGTGCACAGATTTATACTGTCTCTCAGAGACTAAGATCCAGGACGCAATTACCGTAATTGAAATGAATGCCGTGTTTCAGCTTTCGGTCGCACAACGCCGGCGAGGAGGCCGCTCTAGCTGAATATGCTGTGCGTATTCATTAAGCATTGTATTGGGCGGCTGAGAGAAGACCTCTTTGCTTGACTGAATGCTCGTTGATAGCCGCCTGTGGGCGGAGACGTCTGTGAATGAGTTTTGAGAAAGTGAGGTCTGTCGATCGTTGTTCATTGTACATGTTTATCCCCCCAACAGAATATAGCTCCGAATCTACGACGTTACATGTGTTCTTTCAGAATGGAATAGAAGCTCAGAGGTCGCTGCAGAGACAAACGCTCAGGCTTAGCGTTCCTGAGACCTAATTGAGTGGCTATCCGGTATTGGACATGCGGAGGATGCCTGATTAGGATGTGTAGTGGTCACATATTGTTTATTCATAATAACAAGTTTTGCAAAAGCGAAAATCGTCCGACTACGTGGTGCCCACCAATTAATAAACCCCGAGCCTAAACACACTACATTGCAGTCGGGTACTAGTGCAGAGGGTCGACTACTACCTACCTGAAATATTTGTGTGGACTCCAACTGTGCACTCGTCCACTTCTACTTTCATCACGCCTTTCAGATGTGCACAGTAAACACTCACTTAGCTAAGTTAATAAGGTCATGAATCCCGAAATCAAGCAATGTTTCGGAACCTAATTCTCAAACGGAAGCCTGGTAATCCGGCGTCCGCTGTTAATAGGCAAAGACGTACTAGATATCCGAACTTCCACCTGCAGTACAACCCATTCAACTTCTTCCAAGTATTGAATCTCGGATGAAACCGGAGGCTGGACGAAAGATTCCATACAGTTTTAGCTATAACACATGTCGATATACCTGGCTCCAGGTAACAGCGATTGCCAGCACAGGTAAAGAAACTGAGTCCAGGTAGTACACGAAATGGAAGATGCGAAAAGCGCTGCAAGTTTTCGGGGACTCTTCCACTTGAATTGTTCAACGGGATCTCGGAAGCCTCTTGAAAGTAAAATCACTAAGAAGCACTAAGGTTCTGTTATATGCAGTGAATATCGTTTGGACCATTAAGCTATATACCAATACTATACGATGCGCTTAGCCGGCATAATACTGGCGTAGAAAATTAGTTAATCACCTGCTACATCCTACTCCGATCAACTTCGACGGTAACATTAACTGAGTATGGGGCTCATTTCAGCTTCAGGACAGTTCGTGTGTATCCCAAATCAAGCACTACCGTGCCTTTTGGTTCTGAAGGCCTTCCACGTGCTCTATTCCAACACGGCACCAAGAAGGCATATCACTACTGACGTGAACTACAATACAATAGGGTTTATATCATATTGTTCCGAGACATGGCATGGACGGGTGATCTGGCAACATGGTTCCATCAAACGGGCTACCCGATTCACTGCACACAACAAGGTGAACAGACTAAAGGTGATACTTGGCATTTTTTTATTATCTCATAATTCACCTCCTCTTCTATTGAACGGTCAATCACTCGTAAATCCGGGACAAAAATGTGGCAGTCCTGCATTCAAGGAGGTTCCCAACACCGTGCCACTGCCCGGGTCTGCCAAATGATGCCAGGTCCTCAGAACCCGTTTGGGTTTCTCTCATAACCATTGACGTACCTACCCTGTAGCGAACAGGCCAACAAGCTACTCCTACGTGCACGCTACAACTTTCAGTGGTAGGTGTTTGCTGCGTTTCCAAATGCCGAGTACGATTTACAGGCGTGGTAAACGAACCCGGTAGCGAGAGAACCAGGTCTGTGATTCGAACTCAAATCCAGGATCCCGACTACTTATGTCTAGGGTTGGGATACCTGGCAGTACCTCTGCCTTCGCCCTTCCCGCAGACGGCATGGCAGCCATCCACTGGATATGCGTCACAGTTAAACCATTATCATATTTTATAGGGGCTTACGGAGATGTCGCTATCTAGACTCTGGCGTTTATGGGCCTTAGACGATCCTGCATATGCGGTGGCGGATCACGCCGGCAACGGTACAGCATCAGCTCCAGAGCTCAAGCTTTCTTACTCGACTGGGTCCTGATTAATGGCCGCCGTTGGACTGTCTATTTACAAGCATTCATGAGAACGCGCACCAATTGGAAAAATATCCGCTCTTAGCTCACATTCTTCGCATGCCTGCCAACTTCATTAGTGATGTGATGAAGGATGCATTTTCTCGGGGACCCTCCAGTCCAGCACTATGAGCCCCCACAAGTATCGTCCCAGTCAAAGGCGATCTTGATGAGTACCATTAGTATTACTGAAAAGGACATCAAATAAGAACACTGGTGCTTAACTGCCGCGAAAAATTTTCGATTTACTTGAAGAAAAATCTATAATGAAAAGGGAAAATGGAGCAGGGAGACGGACCTAAGGTAAACCTACAATGCATCCGATGTGCATACACTTCAAATACTAAGTCAAACGACCTGAATAAAAGCTGACACCGTGAACGTCACTGACATCGGTTAGTCACCATATGATTCAGGATCATCAGTTGTTAGGCTGAATTCCACACCGATACTGCCTCGCAGTTCGGGGTGAGCCGCTGATACGGCCAAGAAGCCTAGCCTACACGCGATTGGCCAGGAGATCGGGCCGCTTGCTGGCACGGCATTAACCCGAACAACGGTTGGCCAAAAATGAGGACTCAACAGCGAGTAATGTTCCGGTATCCGCCAAATGCCGATTGCCAATGTCGCTTCTACAAGGCGTCAGAATTTCCAGAATGTTGTCGCCGCACACACTTCACAAACGAGGCACTGTACACGTGTTTTCGACATGGTTCTAGGCGTTAATGTACTTGGTGTACCTTAGTTGGTTGTTTCTGACGAGGCTCAGATCCCCGAACTAAGCTGAGAAAACTCCGTTATTGCTCCAGTAAGCACATGGAGTGTCAAAGGGACCCCATTTTCAAAGGCGAACAGCACCAACAGCTTTCGAAATTTTCATAACAGCCTTCATTCCCACTTACCACGTCAAATCTGGTCCACCTCTAGGTTTCGGCCAAACAAAGTTGGTAACGGAAAACAATGACCCAGGCCGCCGATAACTCGACATGCGCAACACATAGCCAGTCAACTTAGCTTGCAGCGATGGGTGGGTAACTTTTATTAGGGTACTGTTTCCTTCACCAAGTTCCGATACTTCTCACCTCACTGTGAAGTTATCTGCACCGACCGCCTCCGGCTGTATTTCCGAGGTGTCGATGGTATATGACCTGAAAACTGAGATTCCGCGCGAAAATGGGAAAGCCCGGCAGCCATAAAATACAGCCGGTTCTGTATTCTGATATATGCGTCCTTTGACATTCGACAATGTGCCTTTTTGGCGATGCAAATTGAGGCTTGTATATTCTTTTGGTCAGTCACATTACTGTTGGAGCTAATCAGGTTTTGAGATACGTATAGCTTCCCACAATGTTCAGGGTCACCAACAGAATTATCGGAGGCAGGTTCAAAGCCTATATTTCACCCAGTATTATCGTGTACTTTCTAAGTGTAAAGTACATGACGAAGGACTGGATGAACTCGGTCGGCTCCTTTGGTGACGCTTGCGCCTCCTGCTCCTCTTCAAGAATAAAAACAATTTCGCCTATATTCCAAAATCTTGCTAACAGGGCTGAAAACTGGGCTCCTACTGACGAGCCAATGTTTGCCTCATCGCCACATCAGTGACGGAACTAAACAAAATTGGAGCGAGTTGGCGCACTTGTCGGACACCACTATGCTTGGGAAAGCTTTCAGACAGCCACGTAGAAAATCCCACGCGTCCACAAACCTGCTGAGCATGAGCCGCGCATAAAATTCATTACTGAGGCAAGGCAACGTTGTGGCGTATGAACCATCATCACTCTAAGTGTGGTAAAAGTTAGGTATTTTGGTTATTGCACATTATTCTGTCTGATGTCTTTACCGGAGGAGTGTGACGCAAATAAAATATGAATCAGGAGTTTCGGTGACCGAATAACTCCGAAATTTTGTGAGGTAGATGTTAAAAGTCTCAACTAAAAGGGCCTCGCTTTCAAATAAAAAAGCTACTTCCATGGTTATGCCAAAGTGCGTATGGGATGGCGTTGCTCGAGCATATGAACAACAACTGAAGGGCCGATTGCGTCACCATATTTTGACAAGTATTCACACAAGGTTGTTGAAAGCTCATCAAATAGGATGATTTTATAAGAATCTCGGTATTTGCTTTGCACTGATTATAACCTTCGAGCAAAGTATGATGGCACTAGATTGGGCCAATCATTCTAGTCAGGCTTCCAATTGACATGCCATTTCCTTTGCCCTCGATGAACTTGGTGTGTGAAAGAGTTTGCTAGGCTTCCCAATATCTTTCTTCCGGATTTGGGTGTGCGGTCTTATGCGACATGCAAATTATTTGTTGTTCAAACTTATGGGACAAGCAATGATATATTTTCCACAGAAGCTTTCTTTGCTTTAGCGTTGTGACCAATGTAAAGTTTTTGAATGTCAGGAGTTTCTTTTTCATTGTGCACAAGTTACCTCTTCTATTTTTCCACCTTGTCCTACTGATATTTTCTCCTAGTTTGTACACTGTTCACACGTTTTTATACCCAGGACTGTCTCAACCCATGCCTTATATAGCAGTCACGGAGAGTATGGGTCATTTCTGTCAAAGTTGGGCTTACTTCAGCTAGGCGAATCTATTATGTTGTTTCATGCGCTGCTTTTCCTATTTACGCCCTGGTGCACATTTTTGGATACAGCGATTATCTAATTTCTGGTTTGGGGATCCGTGTGTCCCCAAGACCCCAAAAGCGCAGGTAAATAGCTAACAGTAAAAATGTTCATGCGTGTGACAGCCATGAACGTTCCGTCATATGTGACGACACATTTAAGTCTGTGTACGCCCCTCAAGGAGAATATTTTCGTCTTATCAGAAAAGAATATTGCTTCCACCAAAGCAATTGCTAAATGAGTGTGGGCGCACCGGTTCATGCCAATTTAGGCATGACCACAGCTGCTTCGAATAATGCCCTTTAGTTCTGTGACTGCTATTTTTCCGTGCTATCCTAAATGCCAAAAAATCCTGTCAATGGACATTTCATTCTGATTGTATCGTTATGACATTACCGATGGTATATAGTCCACCAGATGGGGGTAAACAGCATTATTTTACTATCTTTTGCGTCATTATCTTTTGCATTTTGCTTTCTCGCATGATACCCTTGTACAACTTCCTCAAATGATAAAGTTACTAGGCCATTTTACCTTCCGATGGGGTCGCTGAAGCATCAGTTTGGATATTGCCGGCTCCCATTCATGATGCATTGGCTAGTTATTGTATTGCCTCCACGCAAGTTATCATAAACTGTGTGGCACCAGAGTGGTAGCGAGGCGACCTAAAAATTGACCAAAGGTGCAGTTTTCACCTTTTTAAATAACCAGCTCATGCGTAAATCCAAGAACTATGCCGGTCTTGGACTAAAAATGCCAAAAATTACAAGAAAACGGAAAGTTTATCACGCATTCATGACCCGGAAGCATACACGGAATCTGGGTTTTTTAGAAGGCAACAATGAACGATTTCACTCTCGCATCAACGTCCATCATCATTGCATTGAACCTCAGGGAAAGGCTCAGGGGGCCCTTGAAGTAGGCAGGCAGTTTGTTCGGCGAGGTTGATTTGAAAAAATTCGAAACAACTGACTGAATCAGCACAATTAGACTTTTTCCCTACTCAGCGATTAAGTTTTCGCCCGTTATTCATATAGCTGTTATTTTTGCATGTGTGGAAAGGTCCCATTGACTGTGTAGCACTCCTGAGAAATCCACAATGTGTGGGTGTTATTTACTGTTGTTATTGATACGACATTTTATATGCATTTTTCTGATACAAGTAACCTTCACTTTGAATACTGCTCACCCGGATTACGAAACTGTACATAGGATGACACTAGCTAAACCGTTGTGTCTGTGGGATAAGACTGTTGATGGACACAGCCAAATAAAGCTCCGTCCCCAATTACAGCACTCGGTAACTTGCTTGAGAAACCTATATCGCCGGTGTACACTGAGGCACAACTGCTTCTACTGAATTCGAAGTAGCAAGATCCGGACATTTCGTCGGAATCTCAGTGTAAATTTTTAACTCATTCATTTCACAGTGTGAAGCTTTGTCCCGAATACACGGAGAACACAGTGTATGGGTACGTTCGTTACACATAATCCTGCGTTCTACAAACTTGCTTCTCAGAATTCTTCGTTCTATTGCCCTCTTCTAACAATTCTCAACTTCTTGGGACAAACTAAGCGTGGCCCCTCGGATTCACATTCCTCTACAACGTACCGTTGCTCGCGATGTGCAAATTGCAGCAACCTGTCCATGTTACGCTTGGTTTGCTGTCCATAAGTTAGAGGACAAGCTAATTACAACTTCTAGGCGAGGAAAATGAGCTAAAAGAGAGCAAGCAGCAGTCCATTGATTCCAGGAACTCCAGTCAAAAATGCAACCTGAGTACGATAGTTGCACCCCCTCAATGAATTTGTAAAAAGCTAGTCATACCCTATTGAACGAAATCAACTGCCTTTCTCGTTCTTCTGGCTCCCAAACTCTGTCAGCAGTAAATGCGGCTATACGGAAGAGCCAAGGACCAAACTTCTGCAGGTCATTCAGGGGAGATTCCAGGGGGCAAGAGTCGTCCAGGTGCATGCAAGTTGCTTCAACTGGAGACAGCGATGGCAGCAGTTGATTTCTTGGTTGCTGACCCTTATATCATCAGATTTCTACCGTTCAAGACGGCAAGAACTTAGGTCGAGAGAAGCTAACTGTATTGAGCTGTTTTGTGCATTTAAATACGTTTATCTCTCAAACTCCGGTTCATTTTGCTTCGCACTTAGGGGAGGCCAACCCTCTACTTTTACCTTTCACGAAAGTCAGTTTGCAGCTGGAGGCCTTAGTAACAAGCAAGTGACCATTGAATCCCCCTGTGTATAGAGCTAATTTTCACCACCAAGGGCGTCACGTGCTGTAAGAAGTCAGCATGAGGCCTTGCTAGATTGATCATGCAAACTGTCCAATCGGTTCAAAAGAGCATTGCACAATTCGTTCTAGTAAAATAATGCAAATGCAAAATACTGAATCTGGTGGTATTTCTTAGCCTAGCATGTTCGATATTTTTGGAGACTGATGCCTTCGGCGTTTTGCCAATCGCCTGCCTGCGCCACTGATGCGCAACACTGAAATTTTCCACGAGGTGCGCAGATGTTGCCAAGTACCGCCAGGTCAACTCCAGTGAAAGAGGCTCTCCCAAGAAAACTTGTCCATTTATGTCCCCCGTATTAGTATGAGAGAACCAACCACCTCGTGTTTGGAAATTCCTTGCGGTGAGAGTTAGGTTCAAGTGCATGCACATCCGCTTAAGCATCACCAACGGCTTTGACTGACGTGTTTTTCTGATCACTTGAAGACTCGTTCAAATTTCCCATTTTGGTTTGCGAGTCCTTCAAAACTTCTGTCAAACCTATGGTATGCATTGTAGTAAACGTGTCTACTGGGTTGGACTGGAGGTTGCTAGAGCGAGAAGTAACAGGGCAGTATTTATTTATTTTGCCAGGAGAGCCAACATTGTGACCAGTTTTAAGTCAGCCACCGCACCAAAAACAGACACGAATCTGAGGCTAATTTATAGTGTATATTGGATTATTTGCATCCAAAACCTACTAGGTAAAACTGGAATCGCGTTCTTGGGCAGTAGGCCTGGTGTTTAGTTTTGGAAACTTACAACCACGACGGAGCGATCCAATTTTACTATCGTGTGGATCGGGTAAGACGGCTTCTTGAGTCTCTTTCACCTGCGCACTCAAAACAAAAAATGTGGGCTTATTAACGAGAAAATAACAAAAGGCGAAAAGGGCTGTAAACGATTTCACGGAAGGTAAAAACGAAGACGTTTTTGGTCAGACGGCTTCTGAAATCTAAGCTGTCAGGTGCGCTATCGGCTGAGATTAACATTTTGGAATCAATTTTTAAAATACCAGTAGACTTTCCAAAGAACTTTACACATCCAAAGGTTGAAAGCTGTGCTGCATACTCTCTAGAAGTTCTATGATAGAGTCCCAAAATTTTATACTCAGTAGTCTGATACCACGTTTGAAATACACGACTTTACGAGCATAGCAAAAAATATAGCCATGGTATGTCACATCCGCGGGTAAACGCTGACAACAAACGGAATGTTCCACTTCCTGATTCAGACGCGGGTTGGCTCACAAAAGCCAACACAGCGCTGGTTTGAAGCTGCGATCCTTGTGTGCACAAAAATGTTCCATCGATATCCAAGGCTGTCGCATTCGGATATCGTTATCCCTCATACTTGCGATATTTGGGGTTAACTAATCGGCGATACTGGCGCCATTTGTTTGCCAGCTACTTTGTTCATAACAATGCAAGCGATTCATCAAGGACTACTCGCAGCCATGCGAACGAACGGTGGAGATTGCTGCCCAGGTACTGGTTATTGCAACAAACGGTTTCACCGACGCTGTTCGGTCTACAAACACCATTCTCCCAGGTATCACTTCTGAAATCGAGGCAGGTCTTCAGATTCCAGGCACTGAACACATGCTCAGTCATTGTGCCCGTTAATGACTGCGTCTCCTCTGCCCCTGACATACACAGCGCCGTACATCGTTTGCCGAGCATCCTGCTGCTACGCCACGCGGCATCCAACCTATTGGCATATGTCAGATGCCGGCAACTGATGCCAATACCGTTTTTGTTCACCGAGCCCCGTGTATATGCACCCAGGCTTTCATAATTATCGGGGAAACAGAAAACTACTAGTGTCCATAAAAAGCTCCTTCAGAGTGCTTCGACATAAAAAGGACTTCATCGCAGGTCCTTAACCTTGGCCCAAGGTTGGCAACATATATTACAGATCGCCAGCCTACCACATTGCATCTGACATCTCACTTGTTAGGCCAGCGCTATTTTCCATATTATGCCCATCTATGCCCTGCTGACACCGGTCCTTTAGCAAATATACCTAATAACGGAACCCATATGGATTCTCGGCCCCTGATACACACTTGCTCTGAGTACCACATCCACTGGCACCGACGATTCACAGACCGATATAGAGCAGTCTGTTGTATGTTAATCTATAGTGACCCGTTATACTGAGCATTTATGTTCCCCATGTTTCTCCAGGTAATCAGTCATATTTCCCCCGTTAAGTTGAGCACATTGTTGCTCACGCACTATGCAGACTCCTCCTGTTATTCTGTGTAAGTTTCCATCTCTCAAGCAAGCCTTTCTACTACAATTACCCGCTACTATTGCAACCGGCTCCCGCGCGCGTGGGAAACTCTCACTTCCCGCCACACCGCTCCAGACTGCGTGGCCCACGTGCAGCATGCCCGTCCGTCCGGCGTGAAAAGATGAATGACACTAATATAACATCTATGGTCATAGGACAGTCTTTGAAGTTAAAGACCATAGTGTAAGGCGTTCAGGACTTGAGGATTCCCACATCTTCCCCCAATGGTACATATGAAGCCTTCAAACAGTAGACGTCTCGTTATTTTTCTGATAGCCTTCGCCTCTGGGACTAGTTGAAGACCGCTCCACCTCAGGCAAGCCCCTAGGAGGAGGACTGTAGTATGCTAGTTTTTGGTCATCCTTGACAAATTTCACCTCAGGACTTAGAGAAAACGATGAGGCCATTCGCAAACGCCTTATGATACCCCTGATTTCAAGTGGCGTTTTTTGTCAAGGCAAGCCAAGGTGTCAAAATTAAAAGCCGATTACTTGCACGTGATTTAAACTTATTCAACTTTGGGGCAGGAATTTATTTAAAACTTTATCTCTTCAGTGGCTGTGAATGCAGAACTCAGAAACTTGCAATGCTTTATAGACTTAAGATGCTTAGCCATTTGTGTTCCAGAAAGCGTGATGTTAAACCAATTATTCTCATTGCAAAGTAGCCATTGTGCCGGCGTATTCGCCTGGAAAGTAAGAGGCGGCTATACTTGCCGGAAGCCTTTTCATGTCAGTCCGGTGTGCGCGTCTCCAAGCAATGTCCATTAGGGTTGTGATGATTAAGGCACTGTAACGACCGTTTCGAATCCTTGAGCAACGAGCACCAAGGTTAGCAACGAAACTAGCAAAACTCCGAACGAATGGCTACGCAAATGTACTGTACTATAAAAATGAAAGTAGTTACACGGAATACAAAATTACAAAACTCAACGATTTTCGACAAACAACTCCAAAAGGCAAGCAAAGCCGATATGGATCAACAGTCAACGTGTGACCGA